ATAAGTTTAGATTTGTTCGAATTGGTCACCTTTGGCACGAATTATGCCCATCAAACGACCAATGAAACCGTCACACGTTGCCCGAATGTTGCTCTGCGGTATTTTGGCCCATTCCCGGCGAAGTGCTTGCTTGTTGAGGTGATCGACTCTTTGGTATTTTTTAGTGCCAACCTTGCTTTCCAAAATACTCCAGACACAACAGTGTAACGGATTGGTGTCCGGAGATTTTGGTGTCCATTGTGCGCTGGAAATGAAGCGGGGAACCTCATTCCATAACCATTCTTGCGTCTGCGGCAAAAATGTTTACGTGCCCAAGGCTTTAATACAACCTCCAGAATACATTTCGCGAAAATATTCGGTATTTATTCTGATGCCACAATCGATTATTACGAGCGGAGAGCGACGATCGGCTATTATGGCGGTCCACACCATCACCATGGCCGGCGCTTGAGTTCTGGTGGCCAACCGAAGGTGCAAATTTTCAGCTGACCTCTTTGGCAAGTAGACACGATAATTTTGTTTATTTACAAACCGCTGGACAACGAATGTTTTCTCATCGGAGAAAACCAAATTCGGCAGTTCACCACTTTCAGCCAAGCGAAGCAACTCTTTAGCTCTCTTTTGAGTCTATTTTCTTTCGGTTGCTGTGTAAGTTCTTGCACTTTTTGGAATTTCAATGGCTTTACCCCGAGCTCATTTTTCAATATTTACCGCGTGGAATATTGCGATATGTTCAGCTCACGAGCCCCTTTTTCGGCCACTGCGTCGCGGGTTTCTATCTAGTCCCTTCTTTACTTTTTGAACCATTTCTGCTGATGTTGCTGTTTTCTTCCGTCCACTTTCTTGACGTCGGGCTACGCTGCCAGTATCACGGTAACGAGCGATGAAACGAGACACATAAGATTTATTCACATTTAAATGCTGGAGTGCTCTAACGATAGCCACTTGTGGTTTTCCAGCCACTTTTTTTTTTTTTTTTTCACTGCAAATTTCAGATCATTAAGCTCGTCTCGAAAGAGAAAACAAACACTTAAATCATAAAACATATGATCTTCGCCTTAACAAGGCAAAACTCAAAAATTCAGCCGAGCCTGGCTGTGGGATTTGAACCGCGGACCTCTGTGTGCAGCCAACTAGAAGTTGCCGTCTCTACGTTCAGAGCCATTAACCCGTCTTCCTAAAGCAGCACTAAAACCAGTGTATGCATTGGAAGCAATGTAGTTGTTGTGGACAAAAAATCCATCACTACAAAAACAAAACGTTGCTGTGAAAAAGATCTGCCAATAGAACTTGAGTCGAACCTGGAGAGTTTCTAGTGTATAATTCGCATATGCTAATTTGCAATAAGTTCGAAATATATACTACTTTCCAGAGAACGGCCCTTGTAAGCCATCATCCACATCAAATATGCCTGATGAGCCGCTTAACCAACGGCGAAACGCGTCGCATAGTGGTGAGTGTGTGATAGTGTCTATCTGACTTTCCTTTTCACTGCAAATTTCAGATCATTAAGCTCGTCTCGAAAGAGAAAACAAACACTTAAAATAAAAAAATCACACTATCACGCTTGAATTCCATCACGAATAACTTTTTTTCTGGAAAATTCTCACCAAAATGCTTTTGTACGTTTGTAAACAATATAATGAGCTGTCATGGGAATAATTTTAACAGCTGTCAGACAAATGGCTTAGAAATGATAGCTGTCTGAATTTGGTTGCAGTTTTTCCATCTCACCCTGTATATTGATAGCCTTCTATAGACCGATTATCTTTTGAAGGTGAAGTATATTCCGTAGACTTTTTCTAAAGAATGAAGGTCCTCTGGAGACAAAAACTTCGTTTAGGGGGTTTTATAGACAAATTACCATTTAAAGGCCTTCTATAGACAGATCATATTCTAGACTATTTCTATAGACTGAAGTCCTGTAGATGGTATGCAAATGGTATCCAAGAAATCATTTGAGGGCCAGTTAAAGGTATTTTATAGACATAGAATCTTTTGAAGTTATTTTTTTGGGAATAGACTTCTTAAGAACTTCTATAATAAGAAGATCTTGTCATATCAAGACTCTTTGAAGCTCATTTTAACGCAAAAGATTAGCGATGTCCGTCCGCCTGTCTGCAACTCACTCTAACTTACGAAAGTATTAAAAAAGGTTGATAAAATTTTACTCAGACCTGTGTTTGTTCTGCAGGACTGGCATTGAAAATGGGACAGGTAGGTCCACGTTTTGGTATAGCTCCCATATGAGGGTACCTCCCCATACTCGGTATTTTAATGATTTTAGCGACATTATTAACCACAATTGTTTCAAATTTCATAGTTGGAGTTCCTAAAGGGTACTAAATGATGTCACGGAAACTTGTCTATGCAGGTCCAGGTGTTCGTATAGGGCCTCATATAATTTTGATGATTTTAGCAAATTCTCCGGAATGGTTTGAAATTTCGTATTTGAAGTTACTAATGGGTACTGCAAGCTATAACAGAAATTTGACTTTGCAGATTCACGTCTTCGTATAGCCTCCATGTAACGATACTCCCCTATATTCGGTATTTTGATAATTTTAGCAAATTTTTTTTATGGATTGTTTCAAATTTCGCGTAGAGAGTTCGTAGCGGATACTACATCCTATGACGGGAAATTGTCCATGCAAAAGAACTTTGGAATATGTGAAGTGCCCCCATGATCTATTCAATGGGTTCTTTTAACATAAGCCCTAGTAAACTTCTTCTATATACAAAAGATTTTAAAGTTTCTATAGATTAAAGACCTATGACAGACCTTCAATTGACAGTTGACTATTTGAAGGACTTCTACATGCAGAGTACTTTTTGAAGAATACCTTGTCTGTGGACAGGAGATTTTTCAAAATTCGTCTATGGAATAAATATATTTTAAATGTCTTCTATAGGCATAGAATCTATTGAGGGTCCTTAAAAGATGGAAGACAACATATTTTACAGATCGTAATTAGTCAGAATGTTCATTGCAGCTCTACTATTAACAGAGGAAATTTCGAAGGTTTTCTACGAAAATAAACTAGTTTTAGGTCTTCTATCTAAAACCGTTTGCAGGCTCTTTAAAGGCATAAGACATTTTACAAGACTTCTATAGACTTCTTACTTTGGTCATGTTTATACCCTACACCAGAAGGTGGTCAGGGTATTATGTCTTTGTGCATTTGTTTGTAACAGGCAAACGAAAACGAGATAGACTCATACTTCCTTTTGATGATCTACATAGAATCACATTCTTAGTCGATTTATGCCTGTCCGTCTGTGCGTCCATCCGTCCCTCTGCCCATGTATTTTTGTAAACAAAGTACAGTTCGCATTTATTGCCCTATCCAGATGAAATTTTGCACAAATCATTTGTTTGGCCCAAGGACGAACCCTATTGAAATTGGAGATAATCGGTCAAAATTTAGATATAGCTCCCATACATATCTTCGTCCGATATGCCTTTTATTGTGAACTAACGTGTAATATCAGTCCGAATAGTATGGAATTTTGCACATACGATCAGATTGGATCTGAAAATAAGTATGCCAAATTTGATCGAAATTGGTTCAGATATAGCTATAGCTCCCATATGTATTGTTCATCCGATTTGTTATTTTTGTCCTCCGCAGCCGTAATATGCACTCTGTAACAACAATATTTGGGGAAATATATCAAATGCAGCTCAGAAATACGTTTGCTAAATTTTATCGAGATGGGTTCAGATTTGGATATAGCTCTCATATATAACTTCGTCGATTTACATTTTATTGTACACCAAACGTCTAATATTTGCCCAAATGGAATGGAATTTGGCACATACGACCGAATTGAGTCTAGAAGCTAACATGCCAAATTTGGTGAAGATCGGTTCAGATATAGCTATAGCTCCCATATAAATTGCTCATCCGATTTGTTGTATTTGTTACCCACAGCCGTAATATGCACTCCGTAACAACGATATTCAGGGAAATATATGAAATGCAGCTCAGAAATATCTTTGCCAAATTTTATTGAGATCGGTTCCGATTTGGATATAGCTCCCATATATATTTTTATCCGATTTCAAATTAATTATGCACCAAATGGGCAATACAAGTCCGAATTTAAAAGATACAAATGCTTCGCCATATTTAAATTATAATTATAATCATAGCGTGTATGATTGAATTCTCACATGAAAACTTTTAATTGTTATGCACAGCTCTACTAAATTAGCAAAGTTGTGTAGGGTATCATAAAGTCGGCCCGCCCGACTTTAAGACTTTCTTTACTGGTTTTCCATTGCCCTGCTGAGAATGTTCCTTCATCCTTCCACCCTGAACCTAATTAAATGCCTGTGTAAAACATTTTTCTCATCAAATTTGAACTATAAATTATTCATCAATATTTTCCCATGAAATTCTATTTTTTTAATGGAAATGTTATTTGCCTATTTGTTACGACTATAGACTATACGAAGAAACCCATCTTCTTTCGCAAAGGGGAAGGTGTTAAGACCCTTTTGTAAGTTCTCCAAGCAACTACCCACAATCGAGTAGAGGAAATATTATGGCCAACCAAACAGGATATGGAAATCTCTAAGGGAATGCAGTTAATGGAGGATAATATCCTTCAAGCCAACTCAATGGGGAGGGGAAGTGATAACGTGTTAAATAACTACAAAATAACTACTATGGCCGTCTTTGAATAGATGTGTGTGTGTGTGTGTGAAAAGAAGAAACTAAATTGTTTTTATTAAATTACTTTGCAAAATGAATCTCATAAAAATTGAACACTTCTGTCTTCATCTGCCTGGGCACAGACAATTGCCTTATGTTGGCACTCTTCATTATACCAGAGCTCAGTGTCGAACATCGGCGTCATTAGGAAACTCATTTTGATACTGCTATGCCTTCGTCCAGTCTTTCTCCCCTATTCATAGTACATAGTGTTAAATATAATTTTCTTCATTCTCTTCTCATTTTTCATTCATTGTCTCTGTGTTTTTTTTTTTGCAGATTTCCTGCATGTGCGTCATGGTATGAAGGAACCGACGACTAACAACTTGGACGATATTGTAAGTAATAACTAAATTTATATTGTTTTCTTCTTCTTCTTATTCTCATATTTATTATTTACTTCATTTGTGTGTGTTTGTAGAGCTGTTATTAGCTGTATGTATGTATGTGTATTTTTTAAATTTTTTTATGTAACATTACCAATTTGTGTATACAGCGATCGGAAGTATGTGGTGTTGTAGAAAATGTGATGTGACGACGGGCGGAAATCGTGTTAAATTTATTAGCAAAACGTCCCTTCAGCATCAACTATACCGGGAACTATATGTGCATTGGGGTGACATTCACAAAATGTGAATAGAAGTCTATGAAAATGTACAATGAAAATTAACCCCCTAAGCCCTCAGCATTTGACCATTTTTATACCCTCCACCATAGTATTCGAGGTATATTAAGTTTGTCATTCCGTCTGTAAAACCTCAAAAACCCCTAGACCCCACAAAGTATATATGTTCTTTTTCAGCATAAAATTCGATGTCGACTTAGCGATGTCCGTCCGACTGTCTGTGCAAAATCACTCTAACTTACAAAAGAATGGAAAAAGCTTGATAAAATTGTACTCAGACGTGTGTTTGTTCTGCAGGACTGGCATTGAAAATGGACTAGGTAGGTGCACGTTTTGATATAGCACCCATATGAGGGTACCTCCCCATATTCGGTATTTTGATGATTTTAACGACATGATTAACCAGAATAGTTTCAAATTTCATAGTTGAAGTTCCGAAAGGGTACTATAGGCTGTGACAGAAACTTGTCTATGCAGGTCCAGGTGTTCGTATAGAGCCCCATATAACGGTATTTTGATGATTTTAGCAAATTCGCCGGAATTGTTTGAAATTTCGTATTTGAAGTTACTAATGGCCAAATTTTAGCAAATTTTTTTTATGGATTGTTTCAAATTTAGCATTTAGAGTTCGTAGCGGGTACTACAGGGTTGCCCATATTCGAGGGACCTTTGGGCCCATTCCAATCGACGATGCTTGTCCGCAGGCAACATTCTTTGCGTCAATTGAATTTTGTACGGGAACAAATGCAAATCAATGCGAATAATCCGTTGTAAAGTGGGCCGAGCCATGCCCAACTGCTGAGAACAGCGTTTTTGGTATGTTCTTGGGGACCTCTCAACACTGGCTCGTACGGCAGCGATATTCTCGGCCGATCGCCTTGGTCGTCTTAGAAAGAGCCTTACCAGTCGAAAATTTTTCGTATAAACGTTTAATGGTGTTCTTAGAAGGCGCACTTCTCACATATTTTATACCCTCCACCATACTATGGAGGGTATATTAACTTTGTCATTCCGTTTGTAAATCCTCGAAATACTCATGTCAGACCCAACAAAGTATATATATTTTTGATCAACATAAAATTCGAAGTCGATTTAGCGATGTCCGTCTGTCTGTCTGTCTGTCTGTCTGTCTGTCTGTCCGTCTGTCTGTCTGTTGTAATCACGCTATCTTTCGAATGAATTGAGATAGATGGCTAAAATTTTGCACACATGTTTATTTTTCCAGTAGGCACGTTAAGTTCGTAAATGAGCCATGTAGGTCCACGTTTTCATATAGCCCCCATATAACGGTACCTCCCTATATTCGGTATTTTGATGATTTTAGCGACATTATTCACCGGAATTGTTTCAAATTTGGTATTTGAAGTTCCAAGTGGATACTTCACCCTAAGATAGAAAATTGTCTGTGCAAGTCCATGTCTTCGTATAGCCCCCATATAACGGTACCTCCCGATATTCGGTATTTTGATGATTTTAGCGACCTTTTTCCCGGAAGTAATTTAACATTTAGTATTTGAAGTTCAAAATGGATACTACACCCTAAGACAAAAAATTGTCTGTGCAGGTCCACGTCTTCGTATAGCCCCCGTATAACGGTACCTCCCTATATTCAGTATTTTGATGATTTTAGCGACATTATTCACCGGAATTGTTTCAAAATTGGTATTTGAAGTTCGTTATGGGAACTAGAGTCTGTGACAGAAAACTGTTTGTGCGGGTCCAGGTCTTCGTATAGGCCCCATATATCAGTACCTCAATATATTCGGTATTTTGACGATTTTAGATGTGTTTGTTTTAGATGTGATATTTGAAGTTCGTAATGGATGCTACAGCCTGTGACATAAAATTGTCTATGCTGGTCCAGGTCTTCGCACAGCTCCAATTTAACGGCACCTCCTTATATACGATATTTTGATGATTTTAGCTACATTATTCACCGTTTATTTCAAGTTTCGAATTTGAATATGGTAATGGCTTATGAAAAACAATGCCTATGTATGTCCACGTCGTATAGACCTCAAAATAACGGCTATATTCGGTATTTTTAAAATTTTAATAGAATTTTTTAAGTATTTTATTTTTTGAAAATTTCCAAATTCGTTGCAAATGGTGGAGGGTATTAAAAGGTTCCGGTTAAGTTTTCACAATTGAATTCTTGTAAATTTCAATTATTTTAGAGCGATCGCGTGGCGTGTATTGGTTCATGATAAAAATCTGCTTGGACTGACGCTTCAAACGCGGTATGTCTTTAAGCGATGTGACATCTCTGTCAAAAGTTATGGCGTTGCCAGATGGGTCCGTCGAATATGGGCAACCCTGTACATCCTATGACGGGAAATTGTCTATGCAGGGGTTCGTAAAGCCCTCATATAAGGTACCTCCATTTATTCGTTTTTTTTTTTGTTTTAGCAATATTATTTACCAAAATTGTTTCAAAATTCGTATTGGAAGTTCGTAATGGGTACTACAGCCTGCGACAGAAAATTGTCGATGGAGGTTCACATTCTCGTGTAGCCCCCATATAACGGTACTTCGGTATTTTGATATTTTGATAATTTCAGTAAAACTTTTTATGGAACTGTTTCAAATTTTGTATTTAGAGTTCGTAACGGGTACTACATCCTATGACGGAAAATTGTTCATGCAGGTCCAGGTGTTCGTATAGCCCCCATATAACGGTACCTCCCGATATTCGGTACTTTGTTGATTTTAGCGACATTATTAATCGGAATTCCTTCAAAGTTGGTATTTGAAGTTTGAAATGAATACTTCAGCCCATGACAGAAATTTGTCTGTGCAGGTCCACATCTTCGTATAGCCCCCATATAACGGTACCTCCCAATATTCGGTATTTTGATGATATGCTACTCTACTCTTTTTTTTTTGGTTTATGTTCCTTTTAAAGAGAATTGGGCTACCATTCTATAAAAATTGAAGATACGTTCATGGTAGAAGAATACAGGTAGATGCATCAATGATTGGGAACATTGATATGTCAACAATTTTTAAATGTTTTTTTTTTCATATATAATTCGATTTTTATAATTTTTCTTATATGATGTCATTCGGAGGTTATCATAATTAGCGTTTTCAACAATTTTTACATATTCAAATAATTTATCATTCTACAACTTCAATTCCAAAAAATGTTTGATAGTTCATTATCCCAGCAGCTGTGTCGATGCGTCTACCTATATTCTTCTACCATGGATACGTTTATCGGTTTTTTGAAAGTTTACATCCCAAAGAAACCTAAATGAAAAAGTTCCCTGTCTTTATACCCTACACCACATAGCGGTAAGGGTATTATGTCTTTGTGCATTTTTTTGTAACATGGGAAGGAAACGAGATAGACCCATAATTCCTTTTTGGTGATCAGCATAGAACCACATTTTGAGTCGATTTATGCATGTCCGTCCGTCTCTACGCCCGTCCGTCTGTCCATGTATTTTTGTAAACAAAATGCAGATCGCATTTATTATTCGATTGAGATGAAATTTTGCACAAGTCATTTGTTTAGCCCAAGGACGAACCCTAATGAAATTGGGGATAATCGGTCTAAATTTAGATATAGCTCCCATATATATCTTCGTCCGATTTGCCTTTTTTTGTGCCCCAAACGTGTAATATCAGCCCGAATAGTATGGAATCAAATTAGACCTGAAAATAAGTATGCCAAATTTCATCGAAATCGGTTCAGATATAGCTATAGCTCCCATATATATTGTTCATCCGATTTGTTATTTTTGTCCTCCGCAGCCGTAATATGCACTCTGTAACAACAATATTTGGGGAAATATATCAAATACAGCTGGGAAATAATTTTGCTAGATCGGGACAGATTTGGATATAGCACCCATATATAACTTCGTCCGATTTGCTTTTTATTGTGCACCAAACGTGTAATATTCGACCAAATGGGATGGAATTTGGCACTTACGACCGAATTTAGTCTAGAAGCTAATACGTCAAATTTCGTGAAGATCGGTTCAGATATAGCTATAGGTCCCATATATATTGTTCATTCGATTTGTTATATTTGTTATATATATATATATATGTATCATTATCCGATTTGAAGTTAATTGTGCCCCAATTGAAAAGATATAAATTCTTCGGCAAATTAAGTCCTTTGAACTTTAATTATAATTATAATCATAGCTTGCATGGCTTAATTATCCCACAAAAACTTTTAATTGTTATGTGAAGCTCAACTAAATATGCAAAGTGACCCGTCCGACTTTAAGACTTTCTTTGTTGGTTTATTATGACCTTCCAAAAAAGCATTCAAATCCCAACCCAACATACTAACAGTGATTCTTCTACCAAATATAAGATTTTAAACCCAAGCCTAAATTTAGTACCATTCAGTCCTGTTCGTATACCAGTATACCGAAAACCCAGCTTTATCTAACCCCTACAAACAATTTTAACCCATTTACAAAATTTCAAGATTTTAGCTCCAACCGTTTCGCCTGGGCGTTGAAGAATCAGTCAGTCACTCACTCACTCATCACTTTGCTCTTTTATATAGGAAATTTTCTTCGAAATTGTTAAACTTTTTTTTAACGAAATACCAAAAAGAGTCGACTGATATTTACCATTCTCACACTAGCTCCAATATAGGCAAAAATATTGAGATCTGAACATTTTGAAGAAAATCAGGTCGAATTTTTCACCTTAAAGGAGTTATTATCACTCAAAATTATGAAC